TATCATTAACTTGCCCAGGCTTGCTAAAAGGTGATGACAAACACACAAAAAAAAATTTAAAAAAAATACAAATCATTGTAAAAATCAATATATTAATCGTTTCATTCAGACTCTAAAAAAAAACATATGTTTAGGTACAGTTGTTTGTTTATTAGTAGCTTTTTAACATATTACATTCTAACGATTTTGTATGCCAATAAACAACATTTTTTAGATTTTTAGCTAACTATAGTAGTATAGTAGCCTAAACACAAATATTAATATATTAAAACAACATTTATTTTGGATTGTTTAATTATTATTCACTTACAACTCCAGACAATGTGTCGTCCGTGTATAACAATTATTGATGTTTTGTTAAAATAAGGTGTATGACTGTCTTAATAGTTAATAGTACATTAGTACTATTCGTATCAAGCAAAACTTCTAAGTACTTAGTCAGTGGTGCAACTAAGGGGTGCTTAGCCCCGTGAATACGATTAGTACCACCCACCCAAAAAAAAATGTCCCTTATTGATTTAGATAATATTATGAGCCTATTGGGTTATTTTAAATATATAGTATTGCCAAATGCCAGATACCATTTAGTAGAGGGCCTAGTACTTTTCAGCGTCTGATAAATTCAGTTTTAATCGGAATCAATGGCCTCAAAGCATTTGTTTATCTAGACGGCATTATCATCTACGCAACAGATTTAATGGCTCATGAATCTAAATCAAGGGAGGTATTTTCTAAATAAGTATAAATTTCTTAATAAGCATAATGTTCGCCTACAACCATCGAAATTTCAGTTTCTTAGGAGAGAAGTGGTATATTTAGGGCACTTTAATATAACTGACAAGGGTGTCGAACCCGATTCAGAAAAATACGATGTGGCTCACTTGAATGAAGCCACAGGACCCTTGGAGAATACCTTCAACATTAGGTTTATGTCAACCAACAAAACTGCGATTCATACGTCCTGTATGCAATGTTTGTGTATAACTCATCGGTACAAAACTCTACGGATTAACAACCGTATGAGTTTCTATGCCAAGACTTTGTTAGTACCTACTACACTGACAAAAGCCTCAGAAACCCGTTATAATTATGATGACTACCAAACAGAGCTAAAACAGAAGTTAAGGGAACCCCACCAAATCGTCCGAGAACGCCTAATTAAAAAAAAAAAAACAGAAAACTAAGCTCAACTACGACCGAACCACCCATTTCATTGACATTCATGTTAGAGATCGGGTTCTGGTACAAGACAAAGCGAAAAAAGGTAAACTGAGTACCTAAAATGATTTGGTCCTTACGAAGTTTTAGAACTAAATTGTAACGATAATGTGACCATCTTCAAGGGTAAAAAGAAGTCAAAAATACATAAAAATGTTATTAAATCTTTCATAGAATAATAAGAGCTACTAACATTTGTAAATATCCGTGTATATAAATATTACAATAAAAAGAAGATAAGGATAAAAAAAAAACAAAACTGGTACAGATCAACACTTTTCATTCAGTCTAACATAGTATTTATAAAAACAGGATACGCTATAGATCCAGTACCTCACAGGAACCCTGTATCAACCTATGGGTATACCGTATATCCAGTGGTCAACGAATTCAAACTTGTCACATTCCTAAATATTTCTGCTTTAGACATCAATCACAATGATATTTTCGCTTTCTATAAGCAATTAGAAACATTTTTCAATAAGTAAACTTGAGAGGTATCGTCAGCTGTTCTTTCAAGTTGCAAATGGATGAAATAATCCAGCACAACATCTATTTTTCATCAAATCAAACAAGTTAAGGTAGAAAATCTAGGATCTTTAGACTCAAATTACCAAACAACAAGTGTAAGAAGAGGTCTTTTAAATGCAGTTGGCAGAGTTTCCAAAGTTCTATTTGGCGTGTGTTCAGGCGAGGATGGCGAATTCTTAAACTCCAAAATCTCGGAATTAAGTAATGCTAGAACTAATATTTTGAACATTTTAGAAGAACAGAGCAGGAGCCACGGATACCGATATAAACTCAACTTAGACAAACAATTTGTTAAAATATGAAAGAATATAGAGGACTTTGTCACTCGTCTAAATGAAAAACTGGGAAAGTCACTTTCAACTCTATCGGAACTAGACGCTTGAGAAATGCTCAATGAGAAAGTGACAGGTGTAAGCTTATTGCTGCTCACCCAACAAGCATTTGGTATACAGAAACTCCTGCATATCGTGAATTCTACAATCCTTAAATTTTTAAAGATCGGGAACGTCTATTAAGAATTAATGGTTTTTCATTATATGACTTTGCTAAGTTAGTAACTTATCAATATTTATTACCTAAATAGCTTACAGTTCCGAGAGAAGCAGTATATGTATAGGTTATTCACGGTGATATTTGGATAAACTCTACGTGTTAGGGCGAAGGTCGTATTAACGGATTTGTCATGGTTTAATTTTATTCACCATTTTAATTACCATTCAAAAAGCATATTTACATGAGATTGTAAATTTGTTTCGTCATTATTTATTGATTATCTAACTTTGTCATAAGAATAGTCGGTGTACAATAGTTATGAAGATGTAATTAAACGTTAAGTTTAAAAGATATTAATATAATCATAGATAATTATAAATTAAAAATAAAATAATGTTGATTAATTTTTATCATTATTCTCGAGAGTATAGAATAAGTATGAAGTAATTGAACATGCATATTTTTGAATTAAAGCTACACATAATACGAAAGTTTTATATTTTTGTGTCACTTATATGTAATTTTCCTGCAGTTCTATTTTTTGTTAGTTTTAGAAATAATTATTATGGGATTCCTCTTGCTTCCTCAAATTGATCTAATGTGGTCAGGAAGTCATCCTTAGCTTGGGCATCTGCAATTATGGGACATTGAATGGATGGCACTGGTGGTACCCAGGAGCGGTTGCAGTTGTCGCTTGATGCGGTTGCAATTTGCTGCTTTGCCTGGCACAATTGTTTTTGGATCTCCTTCTTTATGAATTGATGAGTCTCAGTGATCAGGTCCAAATCGTTATTCAATTTGCATAGTTTATCCTATTATTATTATTATTATTATTATTATTATTATTATTAATATAATAATTAAATCCTATGCATAGAAAATATAATAGATACATATTATAACATACATGTGATTATGTAAACACGAATGACAATAATATTAAATATTATATATCTATTATAAAAGTTGTAGTATAAACTTTGAACAATATATAGAACATCGTTTTTATTTTATACTTAGTAGTTGATGTGTATATATTATTTTATTGAAATACAGTTTTCCAATTAACTATCCATAATACTTTTTCTACTTTCTGTGCTTGGGATGAGGAAGACACTGTTTACACCCCTAAAATAATCCGCTTCTATCTATATTTAATCCTATTTCACTTATTATTCATATTATTGTCAACAGACAACTCTCTTATTATATTGTTTTCGGGTAGGTACAATCATAACCTACATAATATACCATAGCAAGCATATGTATTCAAAATTCAGTCACGTATACATCATTTTTGTGACTGGGGGGAGGTCAAAAAACAATTTTAACTCTGCAGGACATGGAGGTACCTGCAGCCCATTAAAATAATAAATAACACAATATAGATAATTTATTAAAATTAGGTACAATAGTGTCTAAAAATATTTTAGTTTAAGTACAAAACTTCGTATTATTACGTATACCATACTCATAATAATAATTATATTATTACACTTAAAATATAAAGACTCTAATTTTCAAGAGTAGCATTTTTTCAAAAAATTTAATTTTCAAAAAGTTGAAATTATGAACTCGAATCAAACAGTTGTAGTACACAATTAACTTAATATTTTTTATGTTTCCTTGTAAAGCACTAACACAAAAAACACTGTTTTATAAAACTTGAAAAAAGACCTATTTGGGGGATCAGAATCCCACATCCCCCCTTCTACTTATACATCCCTGTCAGTATTGTGTGTGTATTGTAAGCAATAATACCTAATATTAATAAAATAAAAACACTGACCTCATATTCTTCAATACTTTTCTCCACGTTTTCAACAAAATCGTTCATTATTTTCTTAAACTTCCCAACATTCTCGTGATTTTGCTCTAATTTGGAGGACGATTTTTCAAGCATCTCACGTGTCCACAGGAGCACCTCATCGTCATTCTCGTCGGATTCAACGTTGGAATTCAGCGAGTAAATTCCCCTTTGTATCATAGCATATATAACATCCTCGGACACTTTCAATGGTTTATTTTTAAACGCGCCTTCGTCCGATAACTTCTGTAGTCTAGACCATCGGGACTTAGTTACTTTGTCACCTTGCATGTAATCTATAATCAAGATGAAAAGCACCAATACGAAAATTGCTGTCACAAATAAACAGAAGATCAGTTCCTTCCACATGATTGAATTTTTACAATTTTTACGTTCATTGGAAATAATTGTTTTCTACAAATGAATGTATAAGATATACAAGTTTGTTTATTTGGCCACCATGGGTGATTTTTAAAAATTGTAATAATACACAATTCAGAATGACTATATTTTTTTACATTTAAGATTGAATTTACTGGCTTAAAAATATATAAAAATAATTTATTTTTAATAATAAGAAAAACAAAAAAAAATTAAGGGATTTTTAGGTAAAACCATTTTTTGACGAAATCGATTTTGTTTTATTGTTGAACTTAAAAACATATTACTGTTGATAATTTACATTTTTACAAAATGTTTTTGTAATCCATGATTTAATATTTTACATGTCATTTTCAAAAGATTTTAGCTATTTTTGAATTGTTTATAAATATGTATTTGTCAAGTTCAATTTTTTTTTCCATTAATAACAATAAAACATGTTCACTCTGCATAAATTAAAAATTGTAATGAGATTATTATAGATATATCGACTATGCCAGCACATGGGTTATCCCTTGCTCTTCGAAGTAGGTGGCAAAGCAGTGCGCTGTGAAACTGGTACCTCGGTCGGTCACGAGCCATTTGGCAGCCCATACATCCCAACAAGACGTTGTATACACTGCTCAGTCTCTTCAGCACTGGTACCAGCTACAGCATAAAATAAAACAAACTTATTGAAGCTGTCTACAAATACTAAGACATACCTGCAGCCCCTATCCGTTGTTGAGAATGGTCCAACATGGTCTGCATGCACCGTCTCAAACGGCCTGTTCCCAATAGGCAGGGTGTACAGTAACCCTCTTGGTTGCTTCCCTCTTGGTACCTTTACCATTAGACATTCGAAACACATGCAAATGCGGAATCGAACGTACCTCTTAATTTCGGTGAACCAGAAATATTGCCATATGTTCGCCATGGCTGAATCGACAGCAGGATGCCCGCTGATGTCATGGGCACTAATAACGAGACGTTTTCTCATAGCCTTTGGCATGACGAAAAGCAGCTTATCATGAAATTTGCTATACAACAGCCACGTAGTCTCCCCAGCATTCCAGCACCTTCGCCTTCACCTTCGCTCTTCCCTTTGAATTACGTTAGGTTGTGTAATTTATGACATAAAAAAGAGACGAAAAAACAAATAAAACACAGTAGTTATTATTTATTAATAAGTTGTGATATTTATTTTCTAACTCATATAACTCACAAATAATATTATCATCGTATCGTATCGTGTACATAGTAGACTCATTATTACGGTTCATTAAACATAATTTTGCCTATCAGTTAACTAGTACCTACTACAGTACTCCCTCGTGTCATATATTGTAGACAGTCGTCAAGATATTATTATTTAATATAATATATGTAATAGAGGTGGGAACATTTTAAATTGTAAACTATTGACATAGGTCAGTGAAGCAATATGTGCTGAGGCAGCAATAAGATTTTACTATATAAAACCGCCGTACGCGCAGGCAAGAGAGTCCCGTTGTCGCTGAGTGATTCGGCGAGGACGTAGGTACGAAGGTTGTACGTGTGAAACGTCGATCGTAGTACGGGCAAGACAATTTGAATTTGCTAAGTGTTTCATTTATGTTTGTTTTAATATAATAAAAGTGTTTCCGACCTAAAAACCCGAGTTGAATATTATTTCAAAGTCTTCTTCTTTCTTACCTTTAATATTGGAACAGTGCTCAGACCCACACACCTATAGTCAATGAGGTTTATTACAAACTGAACAGTGCTCTGGTTGTGGCGTCCTAATAGTCATTCCAATTTAGGAAACGAACGAAGAACTGACAAAACGCATACCATCGTACCTCAAAGGTTAACAGTGCTAATCTGAATTTATTCTAGAGACAGTCATTAGCCTAGAGCGTATACGAGGGTAAGGTATAAAGTTGGTTTACCGCGTATTATCCAATACGGGTGATACCACACTCGTTAACACGAACTCGGTTAAAACAAATTATTGGATAACCGGTTACGCGAACCGGTTTTTCGGTCCCGAAAAAGGCTCTATACTATAAGATAGGGTTTTTTTTTTATTTCCTTGGTTTATACGAATTATTTCGGTTAACACGAAACTCGAACAAATTTTAGGTACCATAATATTGTCGTTTTGTTGATATGTATCTATTTTCGTTTTATTACTCATATAGTCGTTAGTCATTTAATCTTTATAACACAGTTTTACCAATATATTATCTTATCCCTACTATGTTTGTACATATTCTCTATTGTAGGTACATATGTATAAATGTGTACATTTGTATGTGTGCAATCTAGTTCGGCGATAATCGCTTTCGTTTAAACTAATAATTGCTCTATCGATCAGTTGGTCAGTTGACTTTGTTGGTGATTTATTGTGTATACATAGCTGAAGTATTGACCAAAATGAGTTTAAAACCCCGAAATCTCAGATCAAGAAATTGAACCTACTGAACCTCCAGTGGATAAGCCCTCTCGGGCTGATGTGTTGGCAGCCTTTGATACCCTCTTCAAATTTTCCCAAACCAGTGCAGAATTAGATTGCAAATTTGATGACCAGTTGAACAGCATCAGAAAACAGTGCCTAGAAAACTATGAAGTTACATTCACCCAGAAATCTATCACTGACTTTTTTAAACCGACGTGAGTTTTAAATTAATTTTTTTTTTTTAAATGTATTAAAAATATGTCTTTATATAATATGTAATGTAGCGTAGTAATTAATTAATTAAAATATTTGTTTATATGTAGTATTTATGAAAGTAATGTACATTTATATTTTGAAGATGACATAAATAAAAAAAAAATTATTTGAGTGTAAAATAACGTATTTAACCTTCTCTGATAACACGAACAAATTCGTGTTAAACCTATCGGTTTGCACAAATTTTTTAAACACGAACAGGTTATTTTGTGGTCCCGTCGTGTTCGTGTTAACGAGGGAGTACTGTATAGTGGTAGGACAATAAAACAAAAATAACAAATCATTTAATTTCTATAACATTATCGTTTATTTTTTTAATTTGTTATACATGACGTACATATAAGAATCGTTGTACGTTAGGAGTAGACAATTATAATTAATCAAATAACAATAAACTTGTAAAAAGTTTCGATCGTTTCTCCGTTTATTGTGTACACAGTTCACGCACAGTGCCGCAACCAGGGCCGACGTTATACGATTTTGAAGGGGGGGGGCGAAATCAAGTATTTTCTGACTGAAATATAATTTATGCCGACTTTTCTGTATAATAGGTACGGTGACCTAAAATAATTAAAATTTGATAAATATTATGCTAAAAAACAATGTAAAAAAATTTTTTTAAAAATTTAACTAAAACATTTTTAATAGTTCTATGCATATAGTCTGTTATACTACTAATTTTTACTTGTATATCATACAGCCGCTAGCCGTACAGGTACAGGATTGTCTGAGAAACAAAATCTAAAATAAAACTTCGGCATCTGCATGTTACACTTATGAATGAACCTAGGTGAACCACCGCCGTGTAAAAATATCAGGAACATAATATATTAATATGTGCTTACCAGTGGTTGTTTTTTAAGTTCCCATTTGGGCTGGTTGAAACTTTTACCCAACTTTATTAAAAACTGAAATGACACCACTGACTGTAATAATAACAATCTAGGCCTAGGTACCACCCACAGCCCACAGATGGGTGCTTGAGTTAGCGCCTAGCGATAGCATACCGATGGACGATGGTACTAAAAAAGTTATTATAGGTATTATATACGTATAGAAATCGGCAGTATTTTTATTTCTAAATCAGACAACTCTTAAATTGTCGAGTACGTATAGTCGAAAAATAAGGAATTCTACTTCCCCTTATTTGTATACTAACACTATTGTGGAGTAAATTGATATATCAATTGATATAATAGTCATTGATTAAATAATAAATATCCACTGATATTTTAAATTGTTTATAACATAGTAAACTATGAATAGTGTCATCCTCTGTAATTACCAATTTAGAAATCAAAATACTGCTGACTGCCGATGACCCTTTCTCGTTTTTATTATTAAAATTATAACATGAGAAAATCTAGGAAAACAGTTTTTAACAAGTGGTATGAGTATTGACAGCTCTCTGTTATTAATAAAATGCTGGCTGATAGTTACGAAAAATTCAAAGGGGGGTGTCGACCCACAATACCACCATTGCCGCCGGCCCTGGCCGCAACTACACATTATTGGGCTGATGTGCAAATCTTAATTTGGGGCCAAAATATACAAAATGTAAATAAATTATTATATTAAGATATCTAAACAAAAATATTTAATTGTATAATTTATTGTTATAAAAATAGTATTATAGTATAATTATTTCAACACATTTGTAAATTTAACTAAATTATCTAAAAAAATTGTTTTTTCTTCGCTTATGAGTTTGAACAGTTGTCAATGGCTTTCTCTAGATCTATCTCGGAAGTTCTTCTCCATTCTATGTTCAGTATGGAAATGTCACTGAGACGATCTTGACTTATAGAATTTCTCAACAATATTTTGAATCATTTGATTTTAATTTTATTACAACAAATTATAAATATTTAAAATATTTAAAATGTGGGCAAGTGGGTGTCGCTTTGCTGTACAGTAGGTTACAAGTGGGTCACTGTATAATGGATGATATTAAATTTGAATTCAACGATATAATATCATTGTATAAGAAAAACGATTCTGAGCGGAGACGGTATGTCAGTCTAGGTATAAGACATATTATATACATATCTATGGTACTAAACCAAAATTTGACATATAATAGGTACCTATAATAAATTCCAAATTAATCATATCACAATATCCATTAGGTACATATAGCGCGTTATACATCAACAAAAACCGTGATACTATCATAGATATATAATAGTACACTTTAGAAGTTTCAAGTACTCACGAATAACATTATTCAATCACAACAAAATAACTAAAATAGTTATTCTAGGTTTTTTAATATGTAATTTCAACCAAATTTGAATTTAAAATGTCTGTAAAAAATAACTGTGTTCATATATTTTTTAGATTTTTTGGTTACAGTATGAACTATTTATGAGAACCTTTGTTTTAAATTTGCAATCCTTAGTTATAAAAACTGAACATTTTATAATTTATTAATTACAATGATTGATATTTTTCGAGATTTTGATAAATTTTGTCAAAATTCGATCTTTAAATGCTTATAAAAAAAAACTGTGCCTATGTATTTTTAATATTTTTCAACTGATATTGTAACAATATATCAGGAGCCTTGTATTAAATTTTTACATTCTTTGGCCCAACAGATAAAACTTAATTGATATTTATAGAAAAAAAAAACTAAAAAAAATTGAAAGCGGTAAATGTCCGTAAATAGCTCAAAAAGAGTTAAAACATTTTTTTTTTGATAAAGGGAGATAATCTTATAAGGAATCTTGTATTACATTTTCAAATCTTAGATTTAAAAAGAAAAATTTTTACGAATTCTTAACTCAAAATAATTTGCTAATTTTAGTGATTTTTCCATATTTTGTCAATTTTTGAACTTTAAATGCTTATAAAAAAAAATTGTGAATAAGGATTTTTAATATTTTTCATCTGCCTTTGAAACAACATACTAGGAGCCTTCTATTAAATTTTCAAGCTTTCGCTACCAACAAATAAAATTTTATTGATATTTTTTAGAATAAAAACTAAAAAAAAATGGAAAATGAAAATGAAAATGTCCCTAAACAGTTCAAAATAAATCAAAATATTTTGAAAATATTATCGTGTATAGAAAATACAAATATAAACAACCAGTGAAAATGTCATGTATATACATTCATTTGATTTAGAGTTACACCAAAAATTCCTAAAAATTCCCGTTTTGCCTTAATTTGTATGTTGTTTTTCCCGGCACTTGTGAAAACTACTAGGAAATTTTTACTTTTGACCCCCCAAAGTACCATCTAGATTCACTTCCCTATCAGAAAATCTATTGTTGAAGAAAATCCATGCCCTTTAATTGTCCTAAAACGTGATGACAGACACAAAAAAAAAAACACATCATTGTAATACATTCATCGTTCCACTAAGAATCTAAAATGGTACCTACCTATTAGTGGACGATCCACAAACAAAACTATTATAATAATGCATATGCTAAATTACACATATATTATATTATTTAAGTATAACTTTTAATAAAACATCATCTATGGACAAGGAATGGACAGTTCTATTGGAACTTCATGTATTATTTGTTCTTTAAGTAAATCTGATAATAAATATTGATAATATATATACGAGTGTTAAGTAGGTAGTCCAGAAAAAATATAATTTTCTATAGTTATTTTAATAAGATATTTTTTAAAATTTTTTGTAGTTATAGCATAATGTCCAAATATTGTTATTATTAAACAAATAATTAACTACAAAATCAAACTAACCACATAAAAATATAAAATATTTACAAAACTAGTTCCCGTTTTTCCTTAATTTTTATGTTGTTTTTCCCTGCGCTTGTGAAAACTACTGGGAAATTTTTACTTTTGACCCCCCAAAGTACCAACTAGATTCACTTTCCTATCAGAAAAGCTATTGTTGAAGAAAATCCAAGCACTTTTACTGTTCTAAAACGTGATGACAGACACAAAAAAAAAATAAATTAAAAATAAATAAAAAATAAAATAAAAAATAAAAAAAAACACACATCATTGTAAAATCAATGCATTCATCATTTCACTCAGAATCTAATAATATGAACACATTTGTAGACTCACGGTTAGTTGACTAATTCGCCTATTAGACTCAAAACGGCTGGTCCCGATTCTCAGATATACACAACGCACAGCAAAAAATTCGTTATTCGACTCACACACCGGTTAATAGGGTCATTTGAAAATTAGATAAATAAAGAAAATATGTACATACATTGAACAAACGTGTTATAACTTATAAATAAGTCGGTACCTTTTATAAAATAAATTACTTTTTCACGATAAACCAAGCAGTCGTCAATGTCAATTAGTACGACAGGTAGTGTATGAATAGACGTCGTCGTGTTCAGTGTGTTGTCTGCGTTTATATTCTGTGTAAAAATGTTTATTTATCGTGTTACAATGAGCAAACGATGTGATTTGAGTGTGGAAGAAAAATTAGATGTTCTTAAAAATATGAGGAGCTTCCGAAAATGAGCCAGCGACAAGCAGCATATAAGTTAAACGTGTCTCAAAGTTTACTAGGCAGGATGCTGAAAAGTCGAAAGGAAATCGAAAATGCATCATTAGAAAATGTGAATTCAAACCGTAAAAGAAAAAGGGTCGGTAAAGAAGAAGAAGTTGAAGAAGCTTTGAAACAATGGTTCACAAAAGTCCAAAAAAAAGATGCCCGAGTTACAGGACCACTGTTGCTCCAAAAAGCCGAATATCTCGCTATAAAACAATGAAATGATCAATGATCAACAGTGAGTTAAAGTTTTAAACTAATATATGAATGTACAATTTATGAACTATAATATAGTATATGAATATAATATTATAATACGTGTGCATATTAATATGCTGTTTTAATAGAAACGAACAATCGTGATAATTCATCTTATATAGTGTTAAGATATATGTGTTCCCTGTCGTGGGTGGTAGTGGTCCACTGGTCCTACTATGTTTCGAATGGTTTTGTCACTGTTGATGTGACGATCATGGGTTGTTTCGTTTTTATGTGTGATTTGTTCTTTTGACATATGTCACAATTTTTAATATATATATATTAATTATAATTTTTCTGTAACTGTTTAACAGTACGAGACACGCCAGAGTGTCCCCTATCGGAGTGCTATAATATTCGTATATTATACGCTCCCCTTCTTCCGTAGTCCAGCTTTGCTCTGAATAGATTGTTATCAGGGGCGTATACAAGGGGGGGATGTGGGGGTCAGATCCCCCCCCCAAAGGCCTTTTTTTAAATTTTATAAAATAGTGTTCTTAATGACTTAATGTAAGGAAATTACAAGGAAAAAAAATGTCAAGGATTTTTTGTAAATTTTTATTTTAACACAATATTCAACAATTAATTAAAAATAATTTACTTAATATTAATCAGTGATCATATATTTATTTCATATTCATATAATCGTATTATGTGATATTTGATAAGAATAATAATATGTGGCAGACCAGCCACGGGCCGTCGCCACCGTCACCGATATCAACGCGGCGGAGACGACGCCCGCATGTCCGTGCATATAATAATACATTTTCCTATACATTAGAAAAAGAAATATTATTAGGGTATAATTAATATAAGGTTATTGCACGATGGTTTTTACGCATTTATACCAAAACATTATCAATTTTGTATATTATCAATTAACATGGATATACCTACAACATACTAGCTAATAGCTATCAGTAATTTGTTCATTGAAAGCTAAAAATAGCTTAAATAATAAATATTATTGACTAAAAAAAAAGAAAATTAAATTTTGTTTTATAATTAGGTACTTGTAGAATTTAAAATAAAATGTATTGAATATATATATGTTTTATCATTTATTAGGTATTTAAATGAGCACATACCTAGGTTTAGGTATTTTCGTTCCATAATAATTTGTTTTCAACTGATCCCCCCCCATACAAAAGTTATGTATACGCCACTGATTGTTATATGTATATCGGTTCCCTTGAACACGTACCTAAACATAGTTCGAATGTGTTCGAAGTTGGTAAGTGTTGTTAACATCTCAAAACGGATAATGGAGAATTTCTTTACTTTGTTCTCTTCATAAAATGTTTTTCTTTCGTTCATAGCTAAAAAAAACCGTTCTCCTGTTAACTCGATTAAATGTGTTTCTTTTAATTTATATAATATGATTAGTCGATCGTTTTTATTAACTATACTTAACTTGTTTCCGTCAGTGAATTTAATTTGGGTCGTAATCTCATTTTTGGCAATCACTTCGCGAATCGGTGTGTGTTATAATAAAATCTCCCGATATAGGTAATATTAGATTTTCCAATGGACCGGCATTAAGTATAATGTTCTCGACTTCGATAACCTTCATATTAAAAATCTGTTTTTCAGCGTTTTCCTGTAAAAATAACTGATATTTCTGTTGTTCCATATTGTCGGAATTTACGTGTATTTGTGATAAACAGCCCGGGTTCTAATGTAATGACCCTGCCCTATAAATAATTTCATAATCGGATTCGTTAGTACATACCTGTTTTAGTTCCTCAAATGCATGTTCACACATGTCATTCCTACGAAAGGTACGTCTTTTTTCAATAAGCTCGTAAGCGGCTTTGCAATTTTCGCGAAATTTTCTACAAAACGTTGATAATAATTAAGTATCCCGAAAAACGATTTTTTATCTTTAGCATTTTTTAGTTTAGGATATTATTTTATACATTTTAACTTATTCGGATCAGGGGAGACCCTTGTCTCATTTAAGACATACCCTAAATATAGCACCTCCTTACGTAAAAAGGCACATTTCCGGGGCTGTAGTTTCAAGTTGTGCGTGCTCAAACGTTCAAATACTTCCGTTAGCTTATTACCGTGATCTATCAAACTTGACCGGTGTACCACAATTAACTTTCTCAACATTTTTTTATACCATAATTTTGCGGATAATTTGCGTATTTTGCGGACTAATTTTAAATTTTAGAGGACAAATAGTAATTTAAAAAATAAAAAATAAAAATGGTAAAAAATTAAATAAACCCCTTACTTTGCTTTTTAGTATACCAACATTTTGCAGATATTTGCGTCATGTTGTAATACAAATTTTAATTTTTTGCGAATAATAGTTTTTCAGCAAATCAAAAAAAAACGGTGGCCATAATGGTAAAATGTTGCAAGCTTTAAAAATTCACCTATTTCATTTAAATAAATACTGGTGAAATAGGATTTTTTTTTAATTTTTTACAGTTTTTTTGGATCGTTAAAAAAATTTGTCAGCAAAAAATTAAAAAATTAATCCTCAAAATTGAATGAGTTATCCGCAAAATTATGGTATAAGAAAAAGTAGAGAAAGGTAATTTTTTAATTTTTTGAACCATTTCACCAGCATGTCAACAGTTTTTTTATTTGCTAAAAAACTATTTGTTCTCAAAAAATGAAATGTCAGCAAAAATTGATATATAATATTTGGTACCTATCACCTATGTAATAATATGAATATGTTTTGACTTTATTTTGGTTTAGATATTTTGGGATCAAATATTTTCAAAACAACTGTATAATATTCTACAATATTAATGTTTTCAAATATTGCTGTGTGTGTAAATTATATCAAGGTACCACCAGAATTGTATTTTGAATTGAAAGTCAATGTGCTATTTGTATTTAAAGATAACGTATCTAGATATCTAAATTATTAGTATCCAAAAATTGATATTATATGAATTAAATATTTATAGTCCTAAAACGAAGAATACTGGAGTTAACAGTCAAAAAATTACAATTCAATCCATCACAAAAAGAAATGTCTGGGAAATTAATAAATGGATAGGTATTCATTACTTATTGAATGTTTAAATAATTATTTACATTAACATAGTTATAATGATCAGTTATAAACTTCTGTATTGCGAAGTAATATAATATTTGTTTTGGGTTATTTCAAAAATTTAAGTTACATCATTCTTCTTTTAAGAAATTTTTTTTTATTATATTGACAATCACACAATAGATTTTCACGTTTTGTTTCTTCGTTGAGACAATGATGCTTTTATTTAGTTGGTGTATGAAGAAAAGTACCTACATTAACTTTAAGAAAAATCTATAATTTTGAATACCAAGTCAGTTTTCTAAAATTGTTGAGGTGTGCATTTTTGAGCCGTTTTTTTTTAATTAGAATTTTCTAGAATTGTTATATGATTGTAATTTGTATAATATGATTACTCTTTTTGTGATATATAAGGACATTTACTTTCAAATCACACTTGGGGTGCTGACACAAAAAGCCTTCTAAATATTTACAAATCACTAATACTATCACGAATAAATTACGGATCAATTATTTATAATTCAGCCAAAGAAAATCTACTCAAAATATTAGACCCGATACATAACGAAGGTATTCGCATTTCAATAGGAGCATACAGAACCAGCCCTATCGACAGTATTTTATGCTACGCTGGAGAACTACCTCTCAAACTCCAAAGAGAAAAAGACACACTCATCTACGGCATAAAAAGGAAAAGCACTCCTAATCACATAGGACACAACAATATTTTCCAAAACCAAAATAAAATCCTAACCAACATATCTGGGAAACAAATACCACCCATACACGTCACCTTCTCCCGTTTGTGCACAAAGTTTAAAATCCACACATCCGTTAAAAATAAAATTACTTTCCCAAAATTTTCACCTTGGCTTTGGAAAACCCACATAAATACCGAATTAACCAAATATAATAAGCATGAAACAAATTCGACAATTATCACGTCTCACTTCAAAGAAATTATCCAGAGTAAATACTCCATTTTTTCACAAATTTATACCGACGCATCTAAATCTCAACATGGAACTGGATTCGCAATCATCAAAGAAGAAACCGAAATCCTGCATAAGCTTCCTCCGGAGAGCAGCATTTTCACAGCAGAAAACTACGCCATATTAGAAGCAATCAAATCAACAAACCTGACACCTTCATATAACAATATTTTAATAATAAGTGACTCATTTAGTGCTCTTCTAGCTCTCCTAAACCCCTTCTCGACAAATGAAATAACCCAGAACATCCAAACTGAACTATATTCTACAAAAAAAAATATAGAATTTATGTGGGTACCTTCTCACACCGGCATTGCCGGTAACGAGATGGCCGATAAGTCAGCAGACAAAGCAGTTAAAACCATCTTACATCCAACAATCACTGACATACCGGCTAATGACATAAATATTTCCATTCGAAACAAAATAAATATGACATGGCAAAGTTACTGGGATTCTGTTCCGCCTTCCAACAAATTAAAAAAAATAAAAAAATGCACCCAAAAGTGGCACCATCTCCATAATTTAAACAGACGACAAGAAGTCACTCTAGCCAGAGTAAGAATTGGACATACTTCCCTGACTCATTCTTTTTTAATTAGAAAAGATCCACCACCCATATGTAATCAATGCCAAGAAGACCTAACCATTCAACACATCATCCTAGACTGCCCAAACCTCCAAAACACCAGAAATACCTTATCAATACCCAACAACTTAGAAGAAGCTCTCCATGAAGACAACACCACAAAAATCTTAAATTTCCTTACACAAATTAACATTGCACATAATCTTTAATCAATATGTATTTGTATTCATAATTTAAGACTCTGTAACCTTTTAAATATGTAATCATTAATGTAACCCACACTATGTAAATGTATTCAAGGCTAATAACCCCAGATGTTGAAGCCTCTTTTCTTTCAATAAAAAAAAAAAAAAAAA